TAAGAGAAAAAAAGAGAGAAAAAGAGAGAACTTTCAGCTGGATAAAATAAGTTCTTAAGACATTGAGTTAAAATTAAAGAGGCAGGGAACAGAGAAACAATGAAAAGGAACAGAGAAAGACATAATGTTCTTAGATAATCAGATTGTTGTATTTTGTTTACCATAGACTGTAGTTAGAATTAACATGTAAATGAAATTGAAGAAAAACATCCATTTTATTTTTGGTGTTTGTTAATTTAACATTGATTATCACTGAAATATATTTTTCAAAACTTTTATCTTTGTATATGCATACTCGACTTAATAATGTATTTGTCAAACCAATAAATGAAATTCGTTTTATAAAAGTTCACATATATACATTTTCATAAATTTCATTGGAATGTGTTGGTGCATTTTTATTTGGATGTAAATCTTGGTTTGACATTTTCTCTACTAAATTAAAGAAACAGACATTATGCTGTAATCACTATAGAAATGGCTTTGCACAGCAATATTAAAAACAGTGGATCTGCACATTATTTTTAGTTATTTTTATCAATTTTCTTTTTATTTCATACTATATCTGAAATTATGGCTAGAATTTTTAGTTTCATAAACTATCAAGAAATATACAGGGTGTTCCCAAAACAATGACATCGCTTTGTAGTTCAATAACATAGACAATTCTTGTTCAAATGATCTCAAATTTTAACAAAATGTGTAAAAATTAACTTAGTTGAATGTTTAATTTTTTCTTTTCTTCAGAATGACATTCACTAGAAATGAAAAAGCATTTTGTGTGTGAGAATATGCTTGAACACAGTCAAACAAGAGCATGCAGCACACAATTTTCAAGAAAATTCAAGAAAAATGCATCAACTGGAAAGCAGGCTTGGACAAAAAATTCAAAGAGGAAGGCTGTCTGTGCAAGGCAAAGGGATGTGGATAATCATCAGTATTGGAAGAAATTGTCAATCAGATTTGGGAAACAACTATGATGCTAACTGGAGCTGACATAAACACAGCTGATTTCTTCCACCAAGAGAGTGATGTGCTCCCCCTCCTTGGAGGGGTGTACGCGCAACATTTATCATCTCTCAGTTGCGTTTCTGTCCTTTGATAGAGTGCGCTCAGGGGCTTCACTGTGTAAGGACGGAGGGGCAACTGAGAAAATTAGACTGCACCAGAGGGAGGGATTGGTGCTTGCACCGAGGCCAGCGCAACCGACAGTTGTGGGGACTGAGCGGAATTTTTGTCCCTGCCCGAGTGTACGCGCTCGGGTCCCCACATTAATCTGACCTTGTGTCACATCTCATTCTCGTGGAGGAACGAGTAAATACTAGAGCAACATGCTCCCCCCTCTCACCTTCACCTGGCCGACCCTCATGGAAAATAAACCTCCACATCTTAAGTGTTAATAAAAGCAAAGCATGTCAGATTTATAAAGATTTCCTATTTGTCCTTTATCCTATCATTCTCTTACATTCCTATCTATATTTGATCTTAATTTATATATAATATATATATATATATATATATATATATATATATATATATATATATATATATATATATATAAACAGATGCAAACTATGCCTGGAAGAAAAAAATAAAATAATTAAGTACAAAAATACAAGCCAGCTATTGAACCAGAGAAATGAAATTATACTTATGTCATCATAAAAATAAGTTTATATAGTCTTAAAAATAGACATTTATTTTGCATCAAACACTGAAAAATATATATTAGGTTTGTAACTATGTAAGTTTGTATATATGTATGTGTGTATTGTATATGTGTGTATCTAGCTATCTGTCTATCTATTTATATATATATATATATATATATATATATATATATATATATATATATATATATATATTATTCTTTTTTTTATCTGTGCCATACATACATATATATGTTTATAGATGTATTTAATCATTTATATATGTCATGGATATTCTTACATTATAGTTAATTTTTATTACTTTTATTACTATTATTATTACTTTAAATATATTATATATATAAATTTTTTTTCTATTAAATGATGATGATGTTTAAATGAATAACAACATAGATTGCATTTCTGTGATTTTTATTACTGGTTGTGCAGTTAAAGTTTTATCCATAAAATTTTTCCCTACCTTCCCTTACTGCAATATTCTCAAAAAAATCTAAAGTAGGATCTGTAATGTAATCAGTACTGAATTAGCTTCTTGACTTCAGCCGCTTTCTCACAGACGTGATGTGGCTTCCCTCTGTCTTTTCTACAAATATTTTCATGGCTACTGCACTGATGAGCATTTTTTCCCTGGTGCTCTGACTACATGAATTTAAGTGTACTACTAGATTGGCATCTAGGTCCCAACTTTTTACTAAATGTAACTGCCCTTCTAACAGTTTCTTTCCTCACACTTCTCCATATTGGAACTCCATTCCTCTCACTTGCTTCCCTGATAACTACAATCATCAAAAACCTAAATGCAACCTCAGTCACCATGTTTTGTTGCGTTGATACCTGTTCTTTTTTCCTTTCTTCAATCCCCCCTACACCCACTCTTTTCTCTCATTTTCACTCTCCATAACCCCCTGTGTGATAATGGTACTTCTGACTTGCTTGGGGTGAAATGCTTAAAAAAAACCCCAAAACATTGAATATAAAATAATTAGGGTACTGACAAAAGCATCTAATAAAATAATTAGGGTACTGAAAATAGCATCTACCACAATCAAAGGTAAAGCTCTCCCTACCAACAGCTAAAATAATAAAAAAGTGCTCAATACAATATATATATATATATATATATATATATATAAAAGGCAGGATGTGTGTGTGTGTGTGTGTAACAAATGCATGGTCGCAATTTTCGATGGATTTGCACCAAAATTTACATGCACATGCTCCAAGTTAGCAGGAAGGCCAAGACTGACTTTGCATTTCCCAACTCCCATCAATAGTGGAAATAATCGATATTTTCATGCTTCTACGGCAATTTTCATGTAGTTTGCGGCCATTTTCTACTGGCCAGAGTGAGAGCCTATAGCTGGCTGCCACGAATAGGCAAGAAGATTCTACTGGCCAGCATGAGAGCCAACAGCTGACTGACATGAATGTTAACTAGCATGCTAAAAAATCGATAGCTGCATTCGTCACAAGTGGGAAAAATTTAAATCTGCATGGCACTTTACTCCAATTGGCTCATTCGCTTGCTTAAACTCAACGTTGATTCTGATTTCGCAGAACTGGGTTGGGTGTGAAAAAGTATTTGTTGTTAACATTCTTTTTCCATTCGGTTCTTCCAGTTACAAGTCCTTTTTTAAAGCTGATCATTTTGTGTTCATTTTGTTTAGTTCTTTTTTCGTTACAGATTTAATGTTTAGTATAGAGCTTAGAAAAAATTTGCAGTGTGAGATAGGCAAGAAGTAAGGCATGTAGCAACATCAGCACGGCAAAGGTCACTCCTTTAAAGGCAAGGAAGGGCAAAAATATTTTAAGTCAAGTGATAGCGATTGCTGTATGAGTCGTACGATTTTTGAATCAAGCACGGGCAACGCTGGGCCATGCAGCTAGTCAGTTATAAAATCTATATCCCTTTGAATATCCTGTTCAAATTTTGATAAATAAATATTTTATTGGTCGACATGAAGCCTATTTAATTTCATTTGTCTGGAGCATGTAGTTACTCATTACTTTAAATAATGTCAAATTTTGGAGGACACCCTGTATTTTGTCTATGGTTTTAATCAGTTAATATGTGTTATTTAGACATAAAATGACTTTATCAATTGCTGTGATTAATTCAAATTTATGATCTGTATGTATTTAACATGGGCAATGTAACATCAAAATTTGAAGATGCATTGTAATCACAAAAAATGTCTTCCAACACTTAAAGAAACCATTAAGAAACAGGAAAATTTCATTTCAAACAAAGAAAAGTGTAATATCAATCCTCTTATACTGCAGTGAATGTGGGACATCTTCATAAAGAAGAGACTTGAGGCAACAGAGATGTAGATCTACTTGAAGAATGCTGGGAGGACTGTGGATGGAGCATATGAGCAATGAAGAAGATTTAAGGAAGATGAAAAGAACATTTATACTTAGAATGAAAATCGGAAAGAGTTGAAATTTTTCAGACACATAATGAAGAAAGAGGGCTTGGAGAATTTGACACTCACAGAACATACTGAAAATGAAAGGGACAGACAAAGTAGCAAGTAACTTATTTAACAAGCTTGTGTAAATGGATGTCAGATCTGGGAGTGGGAAGGACAGCAAAATGTGAAAAGCCATGATTGACTACATGTGACATAAAAGAAGAGACTTTCATATATATTTTGAGCATATCAAATATGTTAATGAAGAATATTTTTGAAGCTTTCCTGCAAATGGTCATTAAAATCAATTTTTTCAGTACTTATTTCAAAGTAGCTAAAAAGAAAAAAGAAATCTGTTTATTCTTAAAAAATGTTGAAATATATCCACTTTTGAAAATTATTGAAAAATTATAATTTCTGAACACACAGTAATGCAAAAAAATCATCAGAAAATTCAATTTAAATATTAGATAATACTGCTACTGCTATTTCCTGGTGAGGTATGAACATAAGTAGTTAGACAATAAGATAATGCATTTTAAGCAAATAATAAAAACATAGAAGGCATATTTTACAAAAATAGTGCAGATTTGCTTGTGGATAAAAGCCAAACAAATTAGGAAGGGTAATATCAAAACAGGTGCAACTTACAACATGAAAATACCTGTTCTAAACAAAACTTAGAAGAAGATAGAAATCAGAGCAGAGTTCAGCATATAAAAGGCTTTTTGTTGCTGAAGGTGAATGGTAACCAGATAATTCATACCAAGAAGAGAATAGCTGAATAATTTGCAAGCAGTAGCCATTTTCATTTCATTATCAAAAATCTAACCAGCACCCTTTAACAAAATAGAAGCATTTAAGTTGACTATATGTAAATATAAATGTGCATATATGTATATATGAATATTACTTGATATGTCAGTTTTCTTTTCTACACCTGAAGTGGGTGTATTATTAAATGGCTTATCGGTATTTATTTCTTCAGCTGAAAAATTCAAGGTAAAAAAAATACATTTACATATTATTTAATAAAAAAAACAATAACAAAAAAAGATCTCATTATTAAAACAAATGACAAATAAAATAAAATCAGTATAAAATAAGTGCAAAGAAGTTTAATTTCTATGCATTCTTCTGTGTTCTATTCAGGCATTTGGACTTCACAAAAGAAATTTCTTGTGTATTCTGGATTGCAAGTTAGATGAGAGAATATAGGAAATAATAGAGAGAACTTTGTGTGCATAGTTACAATTGACAATTGTTAAAAGTGGATGATTTATTATCGTCATTCAGGTAAAAGAACAAAATTTTCTAAATTTTAGTTAAATAAAATGTATCTGTTGGTTAATTATATCCAGAAGTCCATTAAGTATATTACATTCATCTACACACAAAATCACACATATTTTTAGATATAAATACACATTTGCTATCTGTAATACATACCTGTGTTTGCATGTGTGTGTGTGTGTGTGCATCTATGACAAATGATAACAATAACATATTATTTTGTAAGATTAGAAAACTTTTCTATTATTTTGCTATTGCTCCAAGCTAGATTAATGAATCATATTTGTATATCTTCCTAGAATTATCGTCTGCCAAATATTTTCTTTTAATAAAAATATAAAATCATATCACAATAAATAAAAAGTGTCTGGCAGAAATTTTTGAAATATAAATAATAAAAGTAATTATGATTGTTTTATAGGCATATATTGTGCACCACAATGCTTCCTCAGTGGCATCTATTCTGGGGTCATAGAAAGTTTTAGGCCTCCATAACATCAGACTTTCTGTCCCGTAGGCCCAGCTGAGAGTGGCTAGCATTCTGGCATAGTTTCTGCATGAACTGTAACAATATTATAATAATATTATAAAAAATATACTTATAATTAAGTAATATCTGATTTTGCCTGCAGATTTAAATAATCAAAGTATTTTTAAATAAATCAAGATCCCTTTCTTGCTTATTAATCAAATATTGGTCACTGACAACAACTTTATTTTCATCTTGCATGTTTGAAATAATTTTTGTTTAATATAAATAATGGAGGGATTTTTTTGCTAAGTAATTTAACTTTTTAAAATGAGTGCATAACATTTGAAATAGAATTATTTTACTATAATACAATGATTTCAATAATCTTTATTTTTAAATCAACAATAAAAACATAAAATATGTCTCAAAGGTACAATTTAAACTAGCTGATTTATAACTTTTCATACATACTTAGCACTTTTACACTGACTTTGTAATTAAAGCTGCAATAATTTAGCTGACTATTGCTTTATTTTGTTATTAATCAGGCCAGTAATTGTGAGAAAATAGAAACTTCTATTACTGAGTTGTATATTCTGTGTATGTATAAAGATGGATCAATAAGTCTGATGTGTCATTATTAGCTGAATTAAGCAGAAATTTGTTCAATCTATGCAAATAATATTCACTACTGAATGAAGGGTACTGAGAAAGAAAAAGATTATATTGAAAATAAAATATTACAGAAACACACATTAAAATACTTAATATAAGTGTTGAACAAAATTGCTCAGGTAAGTCAGAGAAAATATATCTAGATAATCCTAGCAATAAAACTATAGTCATACTGTGAATAACAAAATTCTGAAACCAAGATTCTTAATATGATAAAAGAACAATCTTATAATAATACTTTAAGTAAAGGAATGGTTATTAATACAAAATGAGTTATCGCAAAAAATAAGGTCCTCAATCGTAAATAAAAATAAAAGTTTTCATTTTGATACTGAATGCTTGGTTGTCTGTGGCTTGAGAAAAACTGAAAACCTCCTAGTCATCAGTTTTTTTTCTACTAATTTAAGTAGACTTTCTTTTGTTGATTTAATTTTTAATATTTTGTATAATCCAATACAAAAAAAATATGAAGTTCTTTGTTAGTTTCTTTGTTTTGATAGAGAGAGCAGTCATTATAATATAAAAGTGTGCAGATGCATATTGAGAAAAAATCAGTAAAAATCTTATAATCAATATTGATCAAATCAGGTTTGATATGGAAAACAGTTTCATTTTACAATTGAAACATTCTCTGTTATGTATATGAAAAACTGCAACCCAGTGCTGCTGTATTCACAATTTACAATATTTTCTTTCATATTTCTTGTTCATTGGCCTCATGTAAAATATATAATTAATTTTCACCAATCCCACAAAATTACAAGTATGCCAAAATTAGGCACTTTACAACCAAAATGATTAATAATTTCTTAAAGGATGTTTACAAATATTTATTAAAATTTACTAGATGAGCTGTATTCATTGTTCAAAAATAAATATTTGAAGAATTTCTGAAGCCTAAGTAACAAACTATTTAATAATATAAACCTACAAGGAAAAGGACAGCAAATTATAAGCAAGATAATTGTAAAAAATATAATGGAGAGAACATGCATCAATCCTTTTTGTTTAAGTGATAACAAAAAATATATTTTTCTCTACCTAGGTGAATATTGTCTGTGGATGTTTGCATTTTAATAAAAGTTAAAATATATAAAAAAGATGGGGAGCATGACTTTCTTGTACAAGGATATTATTTCTTAAAAGAGAATGAGTTAAAAACCTAATTAATGTTTTAACACAAATAAATTAAATGAAAAGTTTCAAAAGGAAATTTAAGTAATTGATTAGAATTATATTGATATAAAATGCTTTTAATTAATAATTAAATTATTTGCAAAACAAATTTCTTCTCACTGGATGAATTAGTCATTGCTTATTTTTAAAACAATCAGAAATGTTCCTTACTCAAAAATATAAGCCAAAAACTAATTTTCAGTCTCCTTCTGATTATTTAACTAGTTTTTAATATAAAGAAGAAATATAGGTAAGTGATTAAGCTTTGGTTTTTATAAGCAATACAAGTGGAAATGTTAAATAAATTTCTTCTATTTGAATTTTTCTTTAATCAGAAACATGCCACCATTAATTATTACTCTGTTTTTTGCATGCATAATGTTCTGTTTGATTATTTATCTGATCATCTTCAGGTGACAAAATGTAAATATGCTTTATATGATGAAGGTGTTACAGATATCAAAAGTTGAAGATGTGACAATTTGTTGCTTGGATTTTAAAAATCTGTTTTTTTTCTTGAACAGCAAGCTGAGAAAATTTGATAAATTATCACTTGTTCACAAGTTCAGAAGATTATCTTTATTATGGTTACCATCAACTTTGAGTCACTACTGGTAATAATAAAAAAAAGAGATTTATGGGAAAATTATGAATGAAAAAAAGCAAAATATGTTTCTTTTGCCAAATCAAGAATTCTAAATAATGAGCAGGAAATCATATTCACACAGATCCTTTATTCTAAATGATATTTTTTCATCATGGAGTTAAGAGATTCTAAGAGAGCATGCAACACTTATCATCATTACCATCATATGATTATTCCGTAATGTAAAATGACTTCTTATTCCATAGGATAGGATGACCAAGTTTAATTAATCAATGTATATTATTTCAAAATGAAAATGAATTTTTATGCAGATTTTAAAAATATATATAAATGTAAAATGAGAGGAGGAAAAAGAAAGTTACTCCATTTTTCTTCAATTTCTGGGATTAAATTGTCTTTCTTGGATTTCTGCAATCCACTTCCTGCAAGAGAAATAAAAAGAAGTCATTAAGATGAAAATGGAAGTTGCTTTTCTTAGTCTTATTTAGCAAATGATAATAATAACAACTCGTTTGTGATATCCACATGAAGTGACAGGCAGAAATTGAATAACTGCAGGACATAACAGGCATGTTCAAAAAGATAAAGAAAACTGTGTTCTTTGGTGGGATGCATAAAATCTAAAAAAGAAACAGTCATAATGGAAAAAAAGGTACTACAGAGTTGGAAGAAATACATTGGCAAACTTTTCCATGACAACAGAACAGAGAAACCTATAACACATAAAAACATGTAGGAACCTGCAGTATTAACATCTGAAGTTAGTTCAATACTGGCCAAGATGAGGAGGTACAAAGCAACAGAACCAGATTGGATTGTAATAGAGATGCTGGCAGCCTTAGATGATTTCAGGATTGATACGGTTACTGAAATGATAAGGGAAATATATAACAGGGGCAAAATTTCAGAAGACTTCAGTGGATTAACGTCTATAGTAATGCCAAAGAAATCAGGTTTAAATGAATACAAACTCCATTAAATAATTAGCTTGATGAACCACATAACTAAACTAACCATTAGGATTCTAATAGATATAGTTTACAACAGAATTTGATTGGAAACAGGGTAAGAATCGTGTGGCTTTGTTCAAGATACTAGAACAAGAATAGCAATTTTTATTATCTGACTTCTATTAGAATGAGTAATGAAAATGCAGAAAGATCTACAGATAAAATTTCATAGATTACACAAAGGCATTTGATAGAGTTGTACACAAAAATCTTCTTGAAATATTATAAAAAACTTGTTTTATCTGGGAAAGATATTTGAATAATCCATAATCTTAAGTACTAAAAACAGTATGAATACAGATATAGAATTAGTTTAGTGAATAAACAAAAATAGAAAGAGGAGTATGACAAGGATTTGTTTTGTTACTCGATTTGTTTAATACATACAGTAACATGATCCCAAGAGAACTAGATGACCAAACAAGAATTATTATTGGCAGATATAATCATAACAGGGTACAATATATAGATGACAATCTGTTGATGGCAGATTCAGAAAAATTCACAAGCTCTGTCTATGATAATTTCAACATCTGTTGGAAGAAAAACATCGCTGTTGCTTCAAGTTTCCTCTTCAGCTGTGAAGACAACTTCTATTATTTACTGCCATAGTGGAGGGTTGATATTACATAGTCCAGCACTATTTTTTTAATTTCTAAGGATATTTTCCTTTATTTTAATACTTTTCTTAGTTTCTGAAAAACATTTTTGCTATTCCTATGCACCATCAAATTTCTATCATACTTTCTGTTACCTGTGAAGTGCAATAAGTGACAAGGAAGTTTTAAGGACAATAGGAACTATAAGGGAATGGCTGCCAACAATTAGAAAGAGACATCTGAAATTTTGGGGATGTATAATAAGAAGACTTACAGAATTTAACATTTACAGGACACCCTGAAGGAAAGAGAAGCAAAAGAAGCCTTAGCAAAAGATGAAAAACTGCTAAGAGCCACACAAGATAGGAAGTTGTAGCGAGCCATGATCGCCTGTATTCAAGATAATATTACTACTACTACTACTACTTTATGTAAAAACTAAGTATCCAATATAGTGGCACTAAGTGTTCACAGAAAATAAAGAATAGATTTAGATGGCTAGATTTGAAATTTTGCAACTATTGGCACTAGTTGCACAGAGTTATAACAAATGTTATTGCTTTTTGTTACAGTGTCATTTTGGACATTGAAGTGACAGCATGTTGTTTCTTAAAAGAAGCTGTAGTTTTGATAGACATATTCTTTTTGGTGCCCATTAATCCATACCATCTTTTAATTTTTATTTCAAGTTAAATGTATATTACAAAACTGAAGGTAACATACAATGCTTATAAACCTTGAGCCTTGGCCATTGCAGAAGTGAAAATGTGATGATCCCCTGTCTCCACAGTATCTGTTATCTGATATGGCTGGCATGTGTTGCATGTCCTGTCCATATCATATACAAAAGGGCTGTAAATATTTTGTGTTGCTGAGAATTTTCCAAAGAGAAAAGACACCCTTCTTAGTAACATTCTTACAACTGTGCAACAGATGGAGCACCACTTATGATAGATCTTCATCATGGCTTCATCAGTTTCTATGAAAAAAACTGTACTAGTGTGTTTATAATGTACTGTATAATCTATGAGCAACATATGGTTACTAAAAATCCTAAGTGAGCAATTTCATAAATCTTTATCACAGCAGTAGATAAAATCAAGCATGCTATTTCTGAATGGTTTGAACATTTTATATTACAAGTTCTTTAAAGATTTCATGTTAACTCATTCTTTGTGACATTTTGATATTTTTGAAATTCTTCTCCAAATTCACTCTTTGAAAATTAAATCACCTGCACTAAAAAGACAAGTTGAAAGTTTCAGTTTTATTCAATCTTTGATCATTTAACATGAGTTAGTGGCATGCATACCTTAATCTGGATTTATGTTAATTTTGAGGGGTGTCAAGTGGCTCATAAGTTTTGCATATGTTATTTTCAATATCATGATCTGCTCAATTCTGTATCTCCCCTTGTAGCATATTCACATGAACACATTAACTTGCCTAACAGTTTTGAAGGACCATAGATTTTACTCCTAAAAGAAAATTGCCAAATATTTACAGCTTTTCTTTTTCTTGCTTCTGTAGATAACACTTTCAATAAAATTAAACATTATTTCCATGTTAAAATTTACTTGTCTCTTATCACAGTTTTAAGAAAAAACATTTTTATAGCCAGCTTTGGCAAAAATTAAGTAATTTGTTTATTATTGTTTCAGTTTTATAAAAGTTTTTATTGGTAATATGGCAGTAGATGATGAACCTTTCTGCTAATAGCCCATATTTTGTTTGCTTTGTTACAGCCTGGCAAAATAGTACCTGATATCTAAGTGTGTACAAATCAGAAGTGTTTCACTGAATTCCTTCATGGAGAAAGAATTTTATCTATTAGTATTTATAGACACTTTCTGAATTTCTATGGCCAAGCAGTGGATGTGAACCCAGTTTGGCATTGGGCAATGTTTTTCAACAGCAGTAGCAATGATGTGTGTAAGAAGCTATACTTATGAGTGTGGATTGCAGAATTCTTGTTCATCACTGGTGAAAATGCATAGCCAATGGTGATAACTAGATGGAAAAATGGCAATTTGTGTTCAGTGAGATGAAGATAATCTTCAGTTGAGAAATCATGATGCAGCTTAGCCACAGATTAATCCCTTTGGTTCTTCATCTATGTGATGTGTCCCTTCAGGTCATGTTTAATGAATTCCACTTCCCATTAAATTTTCTTCACAGACATTTTAAAATTAGATATTAAAAATTTATGTTTAAACAACATAAAAGTTAAATATCCAAATGCAAAATAGGGGGTTTCAAAATATTTATCATGAAATTTTGATTATGAATGGTATTTTCATTGGTTGCTTTACTCATAGACGTTTAGTGTTGGAAACAGAAAATTTCAAAAATATTTATTAAAACTTTACAATATTAGAGTATCATTTATACTAATAAATAGCTGGAGATTTTTGCTATGAACAATAATCAAACTGTTGGTTAACTTAACTGGTATTTTTTCTTTTGATATTCAATGAATCTAAAGATAACCAATAAATTCTATATCTCATTTTCTTTAAATTCCTAAATAATAATAATAATAATAATAAACACTTGTAATTAAAAAAATGAATAATTTTAATTTCTATAAGTAGTTCTTTGATTACCATTAAATGAAGCTGGTGAACATAAAAAATGATGTTTCAGCATAATGAAAGGCTTTTTTACTTTATTTTTAAAGAAAGACTGGATCTTAGGTATATGTCATTTGGAATAGATTTTTCTTTTGATAAGATAAATAATTTTAAAAATTAGAACAAAAGTATGTTCTAAAGGAAATTTCAATTGATTTATATTGCCATAAGACAAAACAAAAAAAGAAAAACAAAGAGAAAAATAGAAAATTAAAAAAAGACACACATGACAGATGTAATAGGTTAAAAAACAGGGAGAGCACCAAGAGAAAGACAATGCAATAAAAAATTTGACTTACATTTCGTTTTTTTTATTATTTTTTATTTTGTAGATTTTATAGCTACGAGAGTTGTTCAAAAAGTTCTAAGTCTCACCCAGAAAGAAGAGCCATAGCTGAACATTTTTGTTGTGGCAACACACTACCACTTCTTATAAAACTAGAAAAAAATAATTCACATTTCTGTCTTAATTTCTGTGCAGGTAAGGCCCATACAAAGGTGAGAGGTGTACGAAAAATCTAAAAATGGACAAAACAGAGGTTCAAGCAGTCATAAAGTATTTGCAAAAAAATGGTATGCACCTAAGGAAATCTATGATCCTTCCTATGCAACTGTGAAGAAGTGGGCTGTGGAATTCAGGCAAGGCAGGGACAGCACAGAAGATGACCCTCGGTTAGGCCATCCAAAAACCTCAACAATTAGTGAACAAGTTGATGCCATTCATTGTATGACAGGTTTTGGATGATAGATGTCTTACTCTCTAGCAGATAGCTAAATTCATAGGCATTAGTTCTGGTTCAATCCATAGTATTTTAAGATCTTTAGGATGAGCAAGCTGTCTGCAGAGATGTGTCCCAAGAATACTGACACCAGAGCAGAAGCTGAAAAGGGTTGACATTTCCAGGACACTCCTGACTTGCTTTCAGGCTGAACCTGAGAATTTCCACTGCAGATTAGTAAACCAAGATAAAATCTGGGTCCACCACTTCAAACCTGAATCAAAGATTCAAAGCAAACAGTGGCAAAACTCTGGTTTCCCATCCACAAAGAAATTCAACTAAGCAATGTCTGTTGACAAGGTGATGACTTCTGTTTTTTTTGTATTCTGAAAAGGGAAAAACTATTAATGGACTGTACTATACATCAGAATTAAAACAACTGAAGGAAGCAATCAAGTTGAAGTTCAGAGAGAAGCTGAGGGCAGGTGTATTTTTGCTCCAGGATAACATGCCCATTCACACTGCTCAGGTTGCAGTAGCTGACGTAGTTTTGAATTACTACCTCATCCCCCTTAATTACCAAACTTAGCTCTATCTGACTTCCAGAGCCAGCACTAGGGTCTTGGAGCCTCCCTCTCTACTACATGTCAATTTCACAAACCCTAAAAGGAAAATTAGGGAGGAAGGGCTGCACTTTTTTTAAATTACCAAAAATCAGGGAATCATCCAATTTAAATGAAAATTTCAGTACATATTCATTAATTATTCATTTTTATAATGAATTATTATTTTTTTTTTTTTTAAATCTGAGAAAATGTTATTCTTTTTGTAATAACCACCAATATTTTCAGGACTAAATTTTACTTGAAAAAATGCTTAAGTTGCAAATTTTTACATTTCCATAAAGATTAATTGCCAACCCATCTCCACTGAAAAAAAAGTTTTTACAAAGATTCCAACACAACATAAATGGGATTGCCTTAAAAATTTATTTTAAAAACAATATTTCAGTTTTTGGGAAAATTTTTCATGTGTTGAAATCTTTAAACATTTTTATTTTTTTAAGTAATCATTTTCTCGGCTTTATCTTTCCAGAAATTTAAAAAATAAAGACTAGAAATTTTATTTTAATTACTAGTCATGGACTTCTGGTTAGTAAAAATAATTGGAGATCTTCCTTAATGGATGATCTTGAAATAAAATATGATTTTACCAAGATATAATACCCTCTTGATTTAAATGAAAGATTGTTCAGAAAGAAAATTACAATTTAAAAAAATAAGCACTACTGAAATTAGCACCTCTCCTCCACATAGTTGGGAGGCTTAGAATTTTTTGAACACCCCCTCATACATTTTAAGACAAAAGACTTAAACAATATTGGCAACTAAATTACAGAATTACATCTGATTTGTTATTTTATTTTTTTCATACTAGTTGACAATCTTTTACCATTTAAAAATGTTTTGTAAAGAATAAAAGCATTATTCATTTTTCAATATTTTCAGAGATCACCATCAATTATGATACAAATTTAAAATGCTTGTGGGGTATATTTAAATTCATTGAATTTTGCTGCATTTTTTCTACTTAGTCCATATAGCAGATAACTTTAACTCAGTATGTTGAATAGAAAAAAAAGCTGAAGTAATAAAAATTTTATAGCAATATTACCAGAGATCGAATGTTTACTTAATGTCTTCTTTTTGTTTTCTTGAGGCATGTAATATTTCTTTTCTACACATGAAGTAGGAGACAACAAATTCTCCCAAACAACTTTCCCATTAGTTGTTTTTTGAATTGTCACTGCTTCAAGTAAAGGCTTCAGTGTTTCTGGTGCTGCTGGTTTGTCTGAAGAGTTTAAACAAAAGCATAATGTACATATAAGATAATTGAAAATGTTATAAAATAAAATAAGACATATCTCGGCTGATTTACAGGCAAATACTCAAGAGCGAGAACCGGATGTAAACGGGACAAAGCCCCATCACAAAATGACCATTATCTTTCTTTACAAATGTTCCCGACACACGTGTTCCGGTCGAAAAATAAAATAATATTTAAAGTGCTCTATTTTTCGTCCAATAAAAATGCTTCCCTCCTAATTATACTCGCTTCGTTTTTCGAGCCTGTTAAGCCATAAAAAAAACGCTATAAAAGGGGTCACACGGAAGTTCGACAGGCAGTCAACAGGTGGCCACAAAGGAGACCTGTCACGGTCAGGCCGAGCGTTCAGCAGCTGTCAGCAGGAGAGCACCAACCACCGTCAACATGTGTGAACTACTATGAGAGATCGACCTAGATCCGAAAGCCGGCTTATGAAGTTTACCACACCAAGGTAGCTGTCCCAAACCCTCACGTTCCTGTTGAAATAAACCACGTAAATCTATTTCTACTGTTGTCGTATTTCTTTCTTGCAACCATAGGCTTGTCTATAACACTGGTGTCAGAAGCTTACAGCAAGAGAAATATGGCCGACTACACGAGCTTCACCCGAGTCGAACTATTTACTCTCATCAAGGAACAGAAAAAACTAATATTCAACTTGAAAACGGGACCAACACAGCCTCCCGAAGCCACGATACAGGAAATTCAAGCCGACATAAACGACATGCTGACTGCCCTAAAATCAACTACTTCAACACCTCCCACCGCTCAAACAAACTGCGATTACAGCTTAATGATGCGCCAACAAATTATACGCGACACATTGAAGCTAGAGAAAACTTTTCACTCTGGACACGACGTGAACCGATTCATCACGGCCCTAAACAAAGCATACACAATCCACGTCACGCCAGAACTCAGAATCTATCCCAGCTTGGAAAGCGAATTCGCCAAGTCTGCTAAAGATTTACTGGACCAAAGTATCTTTCAGCAAATGGTTGACTCAAAAAAGGACATATCCACCTTCGAACAACTGAAGGAATACGTATTAAGAGCCCACGGAAGCCAGATGACTAACTTCCAACACCTCAGTCAAGCCTGGGACCTGTAACGGCGAGACGGCGAAAAATTAACAGACTTCGCGGGTCGACTCGAAAACACCCTTAGAGAGGCAGCCGTCCACATAAAAAACAAATACAAAAAAGACAAAATACAGACTTAACAGTCAATGGACTTATTTCCATCATCGGCGCTATGCTAATGAGCGAAAAGGGAAAATTTGAACTCAAATCTCTACCCACATCTCGTCAAGACAATGGACAACCACTATTCAGCCATTGGCATAGCCTCCGAAGCTCAAATAAACCTTGATCGGGGTGTAAAATCCAACGACACGACTTCGCACAACACTGCCTATTTCACACAGAAACCACAGCGGTCAAACCAAAGAAACGCGCCACTCCGACCCAGCAGCCAACCAAACCCACAGCAGACGGGCCTCACCAACCCTCCCGAACATGGCCACCATCCGACACGCAGAAACCATCAGCACACACTACGAATCAGCGTGTGCAAGAACTACCTCAGAGGTCGCCCCTGCCACCATGGACGCAACTGTGTATATCGCCACCCACCTCGCACTCGGGCACAGGCCCATATCGCCGCAACGAATGATAATATACAAGCCATAAATGATGTGGAACAGGATTTTCGCTTCGGGCAGGACGAGATGTGATGCCTCGTTCGCCATGCCCCTACGTCATCCATCACACCTTCAACTTTCAAGGACTCGCTCACCATTCACCGCTCGTCCAGTCCACTTTCAACTTCAGGGACATCACCTTCTCTGGCGTCGCAATGCTAGACTCTGGATGCTCCACCTGCATCGTACCAATATCTCAGTTACCCAGAGAAACCAAGAAACTCATGATCCGCTCCGACGTCGTAGTAAAAGGAATCAACGGCAGCACCACCGCCCTCGGCGAACTGACTTGCGACATCACCATCGGCAGTCGAGACTCACCCACATTCAAAAAGGTTAACGTGCTGGTAACTACCCAAACCACACCAATCCTGATCGGCCAAAATATCCTACGTCACAACACGCTCGATTCCTATCTAATTGACAACCAAAATGCGACTATAGAATTTAGACGCACACTTTCCTCAGGATATACAACACAAACAGCCGCAATCATATCACCGTCATCGTCAACCAACGATCCAGCATATGGCGCCCAAGCTGACATCATCCAAAACCAGCCTACTATGAAACTACAGCCCAACATTCAGACACTGGATCAAAAGCTAACCTGGCTAAAACATAACACGGGACTATCGCTACCAAACCACCCGAACCGAGACGAACTAGAGGCCACTGCAAACTTACTCATTCGCTACGCTGACATTATCGGCACCGAAAGCAGCAGCAAAGGCACATTCATCCGACCCATCCGCATACCAGCCAACGGCCAGTCTCGCAGCCAAAAACAACACCCGATAGCCCAGGCTTTGGAAGCAGACGTAGATACCAAAATTAAGCGTATGGCTGATGAAGGTATCATTGAAAACTGCAGTGACCCCAAAGGCTTTAATAGCCCTGTATTTGCCGTACGCAAGAAAAACGGATCGATTCGTGTCGTTGCTAACTTTAAAAGAACTCTCAACAAGGTCTTAGTCGATCTTGACCCTTACCCAATGCCAAGGATCGACCACTTGTTCAACAAAATTGGCAAAGGCAATAGATATTTTACTACCCTTGATCTACGCAGCGGCTACTGGCAAATTGAGATCGACAAGCGAGACCAATACAAAACAGCATTTACATGGAAGAACCAATGCTATCAATACACGCGCCTGGCCTTCGGCCTTACACCTGCTGGACAAATCTTCTCCCGTTGCATAGCAGAAGCCCTAGCCACGGTCACATCCCGTGACAACATTTCTTTCTATATCGACGACAACCTGGTCCATGCTAGGACATTTAGGGAGTACATACTCTCCCTCGAACAATTTTTTATTGCCCTCCGAAAATTCGGACTCAAGCTGAATCCTGATAAATGTTCCTTCCTCGCATCAGAGGCAAAATTCCTCGGACGCATAGTGAACAACGAAGGATTCAAGGCTGATCCAGAATACGTTCGTGCCATCAGGGAAATGAAACCGCCAACATCAAAAAAGGAATTACAAAGCCTTATCGGCCGTTTAGTGTGGATCAGACAATTCCTAGAAACACGTCTTCACGAACAAATCAGGTCAGATATGTTTTCAAAACTTATGGGTCCCATACACGAACTCAACAAGGTTAATAAACCGTTTGTCTGGACGCAAAATGCCGACAGAGCCTTCAAAAAAATCAAGGACCGTCTCTCTTCACCACCTGTCATCTCGTTTCCAGATTTTTCCAAACTTTTCACACTCACCACCGACGCCAGTGACGTCGCATGTGGAGCAATCTTAATGCAAGAAGCCGACAACAGGAAGAAAGATATCATAGCGGTCGCTTCCCATACATTCAACTCCACGGAACAGAACTGGTTCACGACGGAACGAGAGGCATATGCAATAAAGTGGGCAATATTGAAATTTGATTATTTCCTTCGCAACCGCCCCTTCGTCATCTTCACCGACCACAGATCGCTGACATATCTGGACCAACGAGAGTTCAATAATGCCAAAATACGACGATGGCAAGAAGAAATTTCATGTTATAAATTCGTCTTGGAATATGTTGAAGGCGAATCAAATGTAGGGCTGACATGCTCAGCAGAGGTTGCGGACATAAGAAAACGAAAGCCCCGAACGACCCTACACCGGCAGGCAGGACATTCGAGGTAAGCGGTTCAGACCTCCGCGTATACATCCCATCTTGATGCCTCGGCGAGTTTAACGGTTTACAGCTCATTCCCAAAACTCACACACCACAAAAACGCCCGCACCCACAAGCGCGCCACCAACGCATTCTTTGCCTATCACTCCACCACCACCACCATCCCCACTGAGAGAATCTGCAACCACCTCGGCATCGCAGATGAACAACTGAAGGACGACGCCCTGACAAAGATCATCAGCGCCCTCCAGTCACCCACTCCAAGCGAACCTCATATCGATCCTGACGACCACCGAGCTACGCTTTTCAAAAAACATTTGCACCAATTTTTTCTAGAACCAGACACCTCCGTTTTGATGATAAGAGACAGTAAACACTCTCCGAGATTGGTTGTACCATACAAACTACGACCCAGATACCTATACCAGGCACACGAGGGCAACAACCACTCAGGTGTTACCCGTATGCGAGAACTCCTTTCCAGCTACTGGTGGGAATTCAAAAACCGCGACATCAAGGCCTATGTCGATTCTTGCGACACGTGTTCTAAGTGCAAGGGAAACTACGGTAGACGTACCCACTGGCCCATTGGCCACTGCAAACGAGGAAAGAGACCATTCGATCTCGTCTTTATAGACTTTGTCACAATGCCCAACTCAAAGGGAAAACGCTACACCCTAACCATCTTGGATAGCTTCAGCCGACATTTTACAGCCATACCATGCGCGAGAGACCGTGCTATCGACGCCGCCCGCGGATTGTACCATTTCTTCCTCTCGACACAGAGAGATTCCACGCATAGTATCCTCTGATCGAGGCACACACTTCACTGGAGAAGTCTATCGACATTTCTGTAACCAGATGTCAATCACGCAAGAACTTCACTGTCCTTGGTGCCCGCAAAGCTCAGGAAATATCGAGAGACAACATCGCACGATGAAGAACGCACTTCATATGTTATGCGAAGACAGGAACTGTGAATGGACAGACGTTCTAGAATCTGTCGTTTCGTCCATGAATGCCACGACCAACAGCACCACCAGTGTCTCCCCGCACTATGCCATTACCGACCGTCACCCCAACATCGGCCTACCTACACTACACAGAAAAGAAATCACAAGCGACGATCCTGGAG